TGAGGAGAGTGTGCCTGCAGATTGAGTCCCTTTTGGAAGAATTTATTTAATTCATAGTTATAGGAAAAAAAAAGTAATATTTATCTTATAGAAGTGTACTGCAATCTTTTGTTGCACATGATATGTGATAGGTAATAGATGCTCATGTAGAGGGCACAAGGTCAGACAATGATTGCAATATACAGAGGTGGTGTAATTTGATGTTATGATATATTGTTGGCTTATTACCTTTTTATTAAAGGGTGCAATATGTTTGTGAAAATAAAAGACTTTAATTTCAAGCTGAATCGTGTCTCGACAAAAAGCTGCTAAGTGCCAGTATACGAGGAGAGGCCCAACTCCTTCCTTCCTCACTCTTACGCTGTCTTTGTTTGTCACGTAAAGGGCAGTTTCTGTAATGGTTTTTCCCCTTTTTCTCCTATTTTCCCTTAAATATGAAGTATGGTTAATCTTGCTCTTTGTGGTTAGATGGTTGAGTAGCGTACTTGGCCCACAGGATGGGATAATGTTAGATAGAGTAGAGGAAAAAAAAGTAGAATAGATATTGGAGGGAGTGATTCTGGCTGAAGCAAAATTCTAGATGGTCAGTAGTTTTTAAAAACTTGCATTATAATTTGCCTTGCATTTTATCATTGAAGATATTTGTATTCGTGAAAGTAATCATATCAGCAGCACCTGTTGTATAGGGCTAAATGTTCAGAAGTATTATTACCTAATGCTTTCATGTGATAGTTCACTCATACCTACTGTTTATTTTTATTGTTTTGAACTTGATAACTGGTAAACCCTGAAATAAAGGTTAGATGATGATTGAGATGTTATTTATCCCTGTTTTAGGAATTGTTTCCTTTTGAGTGAGTAAATGGATGCCCTGACTTTTTGGTTTGAGTATTTGAGTATTTTTCATATGAATGGAGTTAATTAATGTTTAGTTTCCACTTTTCCCTGACAAAATTATTCAATAAATGTATGTAGCATTCCTCACAAAATCAGTAAATGGATGCCTCTGGTTTTCTCTTTTCCTTGCAAATGGAATGAGTAGATGTCTAGTTTCTTTTCCTTATAATAAAAGTATATAGATGCCTTTGGCTTCCTCATTCCTCACTAAAGGAGTTAATGGATGTCCCTCATAAATGGAGAAATGAATGTCTTTGGCTTCTGTTTTCCTTATCTTCAGTATATTCACTTTTAGATGTAATAATTTTTCTCTCTTTAAAAATTGCATTTAGAAATACTTTGGTATTACCTGTGTACACATCAGGTACTTTTGTGTGTGTGTGTGTGTGTGTGTTTGGATGTTTGGGCATATGAACATGCGGGCAGGTTTTAATCCTCCTCCAACCATTGCAAGACTTCCATGGCAACATTTTCTTTTTAGTCTAATGGCCATATTTAACTTGCTGTCTTGCATGGATCTTCTCGGCTCATGCAGTTCATGAACATGATAACTGACAGTAGCTCTGTCCTCTACACATCATTTTATCATATGACCCCTACTATACAACTCCATTTTATTTTTCAAGTAATACAAACAGTCTTGGCAAGAAGAGTTCCTGTACCCTGACTCTCTTGCTTCTTCATGTGTGCTGTTCTCTATATCCTAGCACACAACTTTTCATGCTATCTGTACTCCAAACATTTGCATTTCTCCTCTTAATTCTCTTAAGAACATCACATGGCTTCTCTGGTAATATTTCCTACCTTGACAGTGGATTTTTGTTTCCCTCTTTCTCTCTCTCTCTCTTTCCAGTTACCTACATTTGTTTTCATTTCATTTGTACCAAAGAGTTGTGCAAGGATATTCTGTGCTCTAGGCAAGTCTTAGAATCAGAATTGTTCTCCCAACTCATAAACTAGAATCATTGTGATGAATACTTTGGCCTGTATTGTGCAAATGGCCATGAAAAAAAATATATCCCACTTCTCTTGTTTAGAAACAAAATATTCAGCAACCAGCTTACACATCCACTGAAAACACCCTTCATGAACATTTTTCTTTCATTTGATATTTCTTTTTACATGCATGTTACTGCCACCATTTGAGATCCTCTGATCACTTCTCTCTTTTCAACTCCTTTCTCAAAAGCTCCTCTTCTTACTATTTCAAAGTTCTTGCTTACTCTGCTACTATCTTCCACTAGACTAAGTAACTCTTATTCACTCTCCAGACAGGTATAATCTTACATAAGGTGCTTGGGAAGTCAAAAGTTGTTATTGCTGAAATAGATTATATCTGTTTCTCACTCTTCCAGTTGGAGCACAGTGTTAGTTTTAGCATTATCTTGTGAGAAATAAAGCATAAAATTAAAATGTTTGCTTTTCATGGTATTTGTTCCAATTTATATGACCCCTTGTGTCTCCCTTGAACAGCTTACAATTTCTCAAACAAAAATGGTGTCAAACTTTCCTTCCTCGCCAGTTATTTCTTATCTTTTCTAAGTCCTTCATGTAATAGGTCTTTTTTCACTGATATTTTTGGTCCTTCCTTTTGCTAATTTAACTCTGGACCATTCCTGCTTTATCTCCATCTTGACAAAATTTCCACTAAAGAAACTCGGATAGCTCTCCACTCTTGTAATGCTTAGAATCTAAAAAGAACCAGACTGATAAAAGTACTTTGTTTCCAAGAAAATCACACAAGTCATAGCATTACAAACTGATAGCTGCTGTTATTGCTGAGCAAGTCTTAACTACATACATAATCTCTGAATCAGTAATAAATGCTTACATTGCACTTACTTTAGATCAACGTTTAGAGGGTAAGACTAATCAATACTTCACCTGCTGATAAATAGTTCAAGAAAAAAAAAGAAAAAAGAAAACAAAAACTTCAGAATTAAATCTGCTTCATAGAACTTTATTCTATCTGACCCTCTAATCTTTAAAACTGCAACTTTAATTGTTTTATGTTCAGTGTCACTGTCACTTAACATATTTCCTAAGAATCTTTATATGTACAGAAGGGAAGATCAACTAGTTCCAAGAGATTCAGCCCCCTTTTTATAAGGAGATGAGCATGCTGTAAGGGGGGAGAGGTAAAAGATCCAGGAAAGAAGATAACACAAAGTTCTAACACAATCAAGGAACACAAAAAAGAAAAAATAGAAGAAATCTAAAGTAGAGACTATTTTGGGAAAGACCACAATCACAGAAAAAGTCCAACACCAGTCACAAAGTGTAGATGGTATAGACTCGGAGGTTGAATCTTGCAAAACACATTACGACACCCAAAAGATTTTAAGTTTTCATAATCCCCATCTCTAAAGGAAATATAGCAGTTTTATTATGTTCAAAACTTAAAAAAGTGACTGATCAGGGATATGACCCTTTGTGTTATATGCTATGGGCTAGTTTTACAAAATGGTATCAAGTTATGTTAAAATAAAATACTTATAAATAAAGTATAGTTGTTGCTATACAATTCAAAGGAAAGGAGACATATTAACATTCCATAGTATTAATGACAGCTCACAACAGTAACATCTGAACTTTTTGAGCTTGATGAAAGCTCTTTAGATTTGGTACCTTTATCTCATACCGGCCTTGTGTGGTTGTCTTCATTTTGTACTACAACACAAGGCTTTAAGACCTAGACCTGTGTGGTTTTCAATCTTTTAACAACAACTGTCTCCCCTGTCTCTTTAAAACTTCTAGCCAGTGTCTGAGTACTAACAATGCTATGGATGTATATGAAAAAAATGTCCTCCTTGTGTTGAGAATATTTAAGGTGTTTAACAGCTACTCTTGTAGTTTTTCAGTAGTCCCTTACTTAAAAGGGGGGGGAAAAAAAGACATGAATCAGGCTAAACAGGTCAACCTAAATCCGATGGGTAGGTACATACATGCCATGCCCACTGTGAGTTTAGTTTATTAACCCATTGCCGCCGGGGAAAATGAACAAAAAACGGGGGAAATTCTGTACTCAATTTTTAAATTTTTGTGAAATATCTCTGTCCATAGATGGCTCTGCTAGTCCTGATTTCACCTTTTCTTGAATTGGCGGGAAAAAACGTATTCTTACTAGTGCTATAAATATAGGTGTTATTTTCAACAGCAAATTAGGATACCATTAAATATTTTTGTAAATCGATGAAAAGGGTGAACGGGCAAGACAGGCAGTACTCACAATTGGCTCATTGGTGACTTAGTACAAGTGTAGCCATCTATGTGTAAAAACAATCAGACAAGTCGACTCACAGTGGGCATGGCTTGTACGTGAGCCAATTATGAGTACTGCCTGTTTACCCCTTTTTCTTGATTTTTAAAAATATTTTGCATCATCTTATATTGCTTTTACTAATGTCTACAGTAAAAATAACACCATCGATATTCATAGCATTGATAAAAAAAAAAAAAACATTTTTCCTGTCAATTCAAGGAATGGTGAAATCAGGGAAGGTCACAAGGTTTACTACTAATTGACTCCTTTGTGGCTAAGCACTAGCAGGGCCATCTATTTGCAGAGACATCATCATAAAAATAAAAACAACAACATTGTATTTTCCTGGCAGCATTGTGTTAACTACATGCCACATGTGAGAAGTAGACAATAAACACCCCCTGGCAGAAAGTGAAACTACAACCAATTAGCTGTCCTTCAAAGCATTCCAAGTTGAGAACAACAACCTCTAAATCAAAACTATATTGTCACCTGTTCTGGCCTCTTACCTTAAAGCTAGTCCTTTGCTTATCATCTCATGTAAGAAAATGATTATTGCTCTTTAACCTTTCTCTGTAAATAGTTAGAATTTTCAGTGAGTTTTTCAGTATTCTAACCATCTCCTTGTAACCTTGAAGTGATAGGGAACCGAGTGAAATTTCAAAACTATACACTACGTGATTTTATTATGTATTTACAATAAATATAATATTTGGAGGTAGTTCTCATATCTACAAAAAGGTACTTGAGAGACTAAAGTCTGTATTATTAATTATGATTATTATTGTATACATATTTTTAAATGAATCTACATCACTTTCTTTCAAAATCAGCATATCTATAATCTTTCATATCAAGGTCTTCTTCAATATAATCATTTTCTTCAACATACTTTATGTCCTCTACTTCTTTTGTTATATATTTAGGTGGAACGCGGAGAATGTTTTGTTCTTTATTCTGACTTCTCCGTTCTTTTTTCTTCAAGTCTCTGTAATGGCTGGCCCAGCGCCGAATTTCTGTCATTCTCGAGGCGGGATTATTCTGACTGTCTTCGGCTTTTGAAGGATCGAAACTTCTGCTCTCCTGATCCAGTTCTTTTCTATGGGCAGCTTCAGCCCTCACCATTCCCCGCCGTACCTGCAAACATGAAGTCGTGAATGAGAAAATCAAATATCAATACAGGTAAATAATTGGTCTCTCCAACAAGGATTCAAACCCGCACATTCTATGATGCATTCTAAAATATGTGGAACCTGAGCCTACGAAAGATTCAAACTAGGGTCAGCCTTGATCCTCCTTAAACATGTCTACTTTTTATCTACTGTTACTATACTAAATCTTTATGCTTTAGAGACAAATAAAAAGACTGAATGAAATACAGAGTATTTACAAACATTTACACAAATACACGGGGAATTAACATTACTAATTCTGCAAAGTAATTAATAGTTCTGAACATAAGTTCATTGTTGAAAATGTAGAGAAAGCTATGAATGAGAATGAATAATTTTAGATCACAAGAGGTGTATTTGACTCATTTTTATTATATCTTCAGCAATACATTTATGCTTTTTTTCTACAGTTACTCTTTTATGCTTAAACAACCTCATATCTTTGAGATTTCATCCAGTGGTCTTACCATGGTGTAGATTTTGTCAACGTCGACACTAAACACATCATTTCTCATTCTTGGTATATCTGACGGTAGCTCCTCATCCTGTGAGTTGTCACACGCTACCCTTTCTGATTCCTCTGCTTTCATTTCCATCTTGGCTATGGCATCCTTTGGATAAATGCAATACAGTTATTGGTTTGGCTTATATTTCTAAGATGTTTCATGGATTCAAAGATAAGAATGGCATTATTTAAGACATTATTTAAGAAACTCATATAGGATACAAATTATACAACATAAAGAAAAGACACCCATGAAAATAATATACTATTTCTATATACACTCAATCATACATGACACAACAATATGAAGGTTATAGATCAAAGATAAATATCTTAATTACTCATTCTATTAGAAAGATCAATTATTAAAGGAATGAAAAGAAATGTACACATAAATTATACAATTAGGTCTATGATGATAATAAAACAGATGAAATACTACTAATAGCCTGTACCTATACATAATGCCATTAATAAAACTAAATAAAAACAACACCTAGTACATAAATTGAAACAAATACCAAATAATACAAAGAACAAATGGATTCAAACTTACAAATACAATGCCCTTACCTTTAAATTCTCATTCAACAATGTTGTGACTGTGAGAGAGGATTTTATATGATGTGTAGCATCTGTGGGTTCAAAGCCTTCTCCAAAGTCGGCGAGCGATAAACGCTTTTCTACTTCTGCCATCTTGTAGAATTTTTCATCTGAAACGTAAAATGTTAATGCTCTGGTACAGTATATAATCCTCTGAATTTCTCTTCTTTTCTTTAACGATCCAACCACCATCTACCTAATTTCTGAGTCTAAGATCATAAGAAAGGTTTACATCAAGTTTCTCTAACCCTTCATTCCATTGGGTAAATCTTAGATCTCAATAAAGGACTCTTTGCCGGGAGATCTTACCTTTGACAAATGTTATCCGAGGTACATGTCCCAAGACCCGAAGTTGGCTTAGCTCGTGGCGAAGACGTGGGGCACTTTCTTGAAGAACTTTCGAAACACTGTCATCAAACTGGGGTTCTTTAGATATCCAGTACACATTGATGCCGACTACATTTGGCTGTACCTGTACCTGTGTTGTAAGGAGAAACTTGATTTTAAAAGATATCTAGTACTCTAAAGATACTCTCATCTTCCTTTCATTGGTCTCTTTAGCATATAATTCCACCTGGCCACAATTTCTACAAGTTCTACCAGACCATAACATTTGTACAGTAGCTTCGTTACCTTTGTTATTTCCACTCCATGGCCAGAGAGCTGTGAAGAGACTTCTCCTGTTGCCATCATGTCACTGATCTTCTCCAAGAAAACTTTATTCAGAATATGCAGTCTATGTGTATTTCCTTCTCCTTTCGCCTGGGGTTGGCTTAGTCCTCCTGGGTTGGCCATCATCCTGCCATCATGCCATATACGTCTGCATAAAGAGAAAAAAAGTAAAATGAGAATATTATTAGAAACTAACATTCCTCTGTACCCAACAACAAACTGCAAGGGGAACAGTATTGAGAAAGGCAATACAGCAACTTTGCACACAATATAAAGGAGTCACGTTGGCCTAATCTTAAAAGGTCTGTCTCCTAGGACCTCAGAGAAGTACCAATGGTGATTCAGTAAATGCAGTAAATAGGCTAATCTTATCAAATGGCAGAGACTGGTTCCACTTTCTGCTTGACATCAGACATCTGGTTTCACTTTCTGCTTGACATCATTTCTGCTTGACATCAGAGTAAATATTCACTTTAATGGATAATTATACATTTCATTCACTTAAGCAAAGATGATTGGGTTTGTCATTTCTTATGTGAAAATACCCATGAAAATCGAATAACATGTTGATAAAGGTCGATAAAAAATAATTGTTAAAAGTGTTAAAACATGATCAAAATAGACAAAATAAGCCCGTAAGGAAAAAAACTCTTTTTAAAATGTATTACAAAAATTGACTCACTTCTTTCCATTATTTCCGGCGAGGAATTTCCTAGTATATTTCCCCGCAGATTTCGAATGCAAAGAAGAATTTGTTGTTAAGTAACGGTGAACTGTAGGTCTTGCTGACAATTGCTGACAACGCACAAATAGAGACTTTGTTAACATTATATTGAGAAAATTATTTTTTTCGGCTTTAGGGTAATAGGCTTCCAAAGGCGATTTAATTCCGGGTTACATTGTTTAGGATAGCTTTGTCATTATATAGTTTATGCAGCCTTATGATGATATCAAAATATAAAGTTTATAAATAAAACCTAATTTATGTATTTTTTTCCTTTATTTTGAGGGAATTGTAGCTCTATATTTATTATTTTGCAATGGCTATACGAATAGTTTCTAAGCTCCATTAACGTAAACATTAAAAACATCTTTAGTAAATATTTACCTCCTTATTATGTCAAACAATAACCCTTACTCAGAAAACGAATAATAAAATTTATAACAGTTACCTCTATCATATATAGTACTCTACTTTAGGGTCTTTCAATTTGCAAAAAAACGACAACATTTAAGGATATACACATTACAAAGATGCATGGCCGGCGGAACAGCTGATGGCCTGCTGTTGTTGTCTTGCCGTGATGAAGGAGAGAAGTTCAGCTTGATTATAATTTTTACCTTTTTGTCCATCCGTGGAAGGAATTTAATAAGGTATTGTAGCTTACATTATACTATAGATGTATTAGGTTGTTGTGTGAGACGTATTTCGATATTTACCGGGAGATAAGGGGTAATGTTTTTGCTCGTTTGTGAGAGCTGTGTTAAATGCTTTTATTTTGTAAAGTTAAGAAAATATGTCGGGATTTTATGTCTTAATGATGTTCCGCTTGAACATTACAGCTAAGATGTCAATAGGAATTAATTGGCCAGTTTTCTTTTCCATCTAGATTGTGTTTGAGCAAAAATGTCCACAGGTTCAGTTACCGGCAAATTTTACCAAACGTTTCCTTCGACAGACGTTTGTATTAAAATATGCTTGTATCTGTCTTATGAATTCTAGAAAAAATATAATTCAGATACATTATTGTAATACAGAGCAGTTAAAGTAGGCTTAGGTTCATTGATATTAATAAATCTATTTTAAACTTCTAGTCTGGTGATAATGTGTATATTACTGTTCAGATATTGTAAGTTTAGGTGGTAGTTATCCAGAATTGGAATGGAAGGAAGTAGAGAAGAAAATCATAAAGAATATATAAAGCAACGTTATTCGGTAGAAAGCATACTGCATGTAAAGTAAAGGTTGTCACAGGTGTTTATTGAAGGCACTGAATTGGACATTTTCAATCCAGTTGGGGAGTTTGTCTTACTATACTGACTTTACCTCAAGTTCATTTTCAGACCCCATGACTAATACTCTGATACTAAACTAAGAATACAGTTTCAAAGAAAGAATCACATTGCATTAGATTTTGGTATTCTGGTCATCATATTTAAATGTTACAAGTCATTTTTTAATGCATAAGATACTTTAGAAGAATCCTTTTTATTTTATTTTTTTATTGTTATTGTTATACATACATATCAGTATCCTACTAATTAATAACCAAATCTTCCTCAGACCATGGCACTCAGAACGCTTGGACTGGCTCTGTCCAGAATGAGTCTTGCACCTGCTGTACCCAGAGGTCAGTGTTTTTTTTCAATTTTGGGGTAATTTTTTTGTGTGTAAGGGGAGGGACGTGTATGTTTGTGGGGGAATGTGCATATATATATATATATCTGTGTGTGTGTGTGTGTGCAGGCGTGTGTGAGAGAGAGAGAGTGAGGGAAGGAGAGAGAGAGGGAGTGAGAGATGGAGAGGGAAAGAGAGAGAGAGAGAGAGGGAAGGAGAGAGGGAGAGGGAAGGAGAGAGAGAGGGAGTGAGGGAGGGAGAGGGAAGGAGAGAGAGAGGGAGTGAGGGAGGGAGAGGGAAGGAGAGAGAGAGGGAGAGGGAAGGAGAGAGAGAGGGAAGGAGAGAGAGAGGGAGAGGGAAGGAGAGAGAGAGGGAGAGGGAAGGAGAGAGAGAAGGAGTGAGAAGGAGTGAGAAGGAGAGAGAGAGGGAGTGAGAAGGAGAGGGAGAGGGAAGGAGAGAGAGAGGGAGTGAGATAGGGAGAGGGAAGGAGAGAGAGAGGGAGTGAGAGAGGGAGAGGGAGTGAGAGGGAGAGGGAGTGAGAGAGAGGGAGAGGGAAGGAGAGAGAGAGGGAGAGGGAAGGAGAGAGAGAGGGAGAGGGAAGGAGTGGGAGAGGGAAGGAGTGGGAGAGGGAAGGAGTGGGAGAGGGAAGGAGAGAGAGAGAGGGAATGAGAGAGGGAGAGGAAGGAGAGAGAGAGAGGGAGTGAGAGAGGGAGAGGGAAGGAGAGAGAGAGGGAATGAGAGAGGGAGTGAGAGAGGGAGAGAGAAGGAGAGAGAGAGGGAGAGAGAGGGAGTGAGAGAGGGAGAGGGAAGGAGAGAGAGAGAGGAATGAGAGAGGGAATGAGAGAGGGAGTGAGAGAGGGAGTGAGAGAGGGAGAGAGAGGGAGTGAGAGAGGGAGTGAGAGAGGGAGAGGGAAGGAGAGAGAGAGGGAGTGAGAGAGGGAGAGGGAAAGGAGAGAGGGAGAGGGAGTGAGAGGGAGAGGGAGAGGGAAGGAGAGGGAGAGGGAAGGAGAGAGAGAGGGAGTGAGAGAGGGAGAGGGAAGGAGAGAGAGAGTGAGTGAGAGAGGGAGAGGGAAGGAGAGAGAGAGAGAGAGAGGAAAGGAGAGAGAGAGGGAGAGGGAAGGAGAGAGAGAGGGAGGGGGAAGGAGAGAGAGAGGGAGGGGGAAGGAGAGAGAGAGGGAGGGGGAGAGAGAGAGAGAGGGAGAGGTAAGGAGAGAGAGAGATAAGGAGAGAAAGAGAGGGAGAGATAAGGAGAGAAAGAGAGGGAGAGATAAGGAGAGAAAGAGAGGGAGAGATAAGGAGAGAGAGAGAGAGGGAGAGATAAGGAGAAAGAGAGAGGGAGAGATAAGGAGAGAGAGAGAGAGGGAGAGATAAGGAGAGAGAGAGAGGGAGAGATAAGGAGAGAGAGAGAGGGAGAGATAAGGAGAGAGAGAGAGGGAGAGATAAGGAGAGAGAGAGAGAGGAAGAGATAAGGAGAGGGAGAGAGAGAGGGAGAGATAAGGAGAGAGAGAGATGGGGAGAGATAAGGAGAGAGAGAGAGAGGGAGAGATAAGGAGAGAGAGAGGGAGAGATAAGGAGAGAGGGAGAGGGAGAGATAAGGAGAGAGGGAGAGGGAGAGATAAGGAGAGAGGGAGAGGGAGAAATAAGGAGAAAGAGAGAGGGAGAGATAAGGAGAAAGAGAGAGGGAGAGATAAGGAGAGAGTGAGAGGGAGAGATGAGGAGAGAGAGAGAGGGAGAGATAAGGAGAGAGAGAGAGGGAGAGATAAGGAGAGAGAGAGAGGGAGAGATAAGGAGAGAGAGAGAGAGGAAGAGATAAGGAGAGGAGAGAGAGAGGGAGAGATAAGGAGAGAGTGAGAGGGAGAGATGAGGAGAGAGAGAGAGGGAGAGATAAGGAGAGAGAGAGAGGGAGAGATAAGGAGAGAGTGAGAGGGAGAGATAAGGAGAGAGAGAGAGGGAGAGATAAGGAGAGAGAGAGAGAGGGAGAGATAAGGAGAGAGAGAGAGGGAGAGATAAGGAGAGATAGAGAGGGAGAGATAAGGAGAGAGAGAGAGAGGGAGAGATAAGGAGAGAGAGAGAGAGGGAGAGATAAGGAGAGATAGAGAGGGAGAGATAAGGAGAGAGAGAGGGAGTGAGAAAGAGAGGGAGAGGGAAGGAGAGAGAGAGGGAGTGAGAGAGGGAGAGGGAAGGAGAGAGAGAGGGAGTGAGAGAGGGAGAGGGAAGGAGAGAGAGAGGGAAGGAGAGAGGGAGAGGGAAGGAGAGAGGGAGAGGGAAGGAGAGAGAGAGAGGGAGTGAGAGAGGGAGAGGGAAGGAGAGAGAGAGAGAGGGAGAGAGAGAGGGAGAGATAAGGAGAGAGAGAGGGAGAGATAAGGAGAGAGAGAGGGAGAGGGAGAGGGAAGGAGAGAGAGGGAGAGGGAAGGAGAGAGAGAGAGAGAGAGAGAGAGGGAAAGAGAGAGAGGGACAGGGAAGGAGAGAGAGAAGGAGACAGAGGGACAGGGAAGGATAGAGCAAGAGAGAGAGAGAGGGAAGGAGAGAGAGAGAAGAGAAGGGGAGAGAGAGAAGAGAAGAGGAGAGAGAGAAGAGAAGAGAAGAGGAGAGAGAGAAGAGAAGGGGAGAGAGAGAGAAGAGAAGGGGAGAGAGAGAAGAGAAGGGGAGAGAGAGAGAGGAGAAGGGGAGAGAGAGAGAGGAGAAGGGAGAGAGAGAGAGTGGAGAAGGGGAGAGAGAAAGAGGAGAAGGGGAGAGAGAAGAGGAGAAGGGGAGAGAGAGAGAGGAGAAGGGGAGAGAGAGAGAGGAGAAGGGAGAGAGAGAGAGGAGAAGGGGAGAGAGAGAGAGGAGAAGGGGAGAGAGAGAGAGGAGAAGGGGAGAGAGAGAGAGGAGAAGGGGAGAGAGAGAGAGGAGAAGGGGAGAGAGAGAGAGAGAGAGGAGAAGGGGGAGAGAGAGAGAGAGAGAGGAGAAGGGGAGAGAGAGAGAGAGGAGAAGGGGAGAGAGAGAGAGAGGAGAAGGGGAGAGAGAAAGAGGAGAAGGGGAGAGAGAGAGAGGAGAAGGGGAGAGAGAGAGAGGAGAAGGGGAGAGAGAGAGAAAGGAGAAGGGGAGAGAGAGAGAGAGAGGAGAAGAGGAGAGAGAGAGAGAGAGGAGAAGGAGAGAGAGGAGAGAGAGAGGAGAAGGGGAGAGAGAGAGAGAAGAGAAGGGGAGAGAGAGAGAGGAGAAGGGGAGAGAGAAAGAGGAGAAGGGGAGAGAGAAGAGGAGAAGGGGAGAGAGAGAGAGGAGAAGGGGAGAGAGAGAGAGAGGAGAAGGGGAGAGAGAGAGAGAGAGGAGAAGGGGAGAGAGAGAGAGAGGAGAAGGGGAGAGAGAGAGAGAGGAGAAGGGGAGAGAGAAGAGGAGAAGGGGAGAGAGAAGAGGAGAAGGGGAGAGAGAGAAGAGGAGAAGGAGAGAGAGAGAGAGCGGAGGAGAGAGAGAGAGAGGAGAAGGGGAGAGAGAGAGGGGAGAAGGGGAGAGAGAGAGAGAGGAGAAGGGGAGAGAGAGAGAGAGAGGAGAAGGGGAGAGAGAGAGAGGAGAAGGGAGAGAGAGAGAGGAGAAGGGAGAGAGAGAGAGGAGAAGGGGAGAGAGAGAGAGAGGAGAAGGGGAGAGAGAGAGAGGAGAAGGGGAGAGAGAGAGAGGAGAAGGGAGAGAGAGAGAGGAGAAGGGGAGAGAGAGAGAGGAGAAGGGGAGAGAGAGAGAGGAGAAGGGGAGAGAGAGAGAGGAGAAGGGGAGAGAGAGAGAGGAGAAGGGGAGAGAGAGAGAGGAGAAGGGGGAGAGAGAGAGAGAGAAGGGGGAGAGAGAGAGAGGAGAAGGGGAGAGAGAGAGAGAGAAGGGAGAGAGAGAGAAGAGAAGGGAGAGAGAGAAGAGAGGGAGAGAGAGAGAGAGGAGAGAGAGAGAGAGAGAGAGAGAGAGAGAGAGAGAGAGAGAGAGAGAGAGAGAGAGAGATTAAAATTGCGGCGTTGACCAGTTCAAAAGATTTTCAAGTAAATTTCTCTCGCTGCCAGATTTAAGTCTCACCTTTTTTTCTCTTGACATATATTTGTAGACACGATTATACCTCCCCCCTCCCCCTCCCCCGTTTTCCCCGGCATCCCCAGCCTCTCAACCACTCAACCGTCTAACCACAAATCACCCCTAAACACCACAACAATCCAGCCACTCACTCTACCCTAACCACCCACCCTAACTACGTACCATTTCAACCACTCAATCAGCTAACCGCCAGCCCACCCGACCTAATGTTGTAAATATTCACCCGCCTTGGCACAACACTTGCTTTTACTGCTATTACTACTGTTGCTACTATTACTACTATTACCACTACTGCTTCTACTGCTGCTACTACTGCAACTACTATTACTACAAAAACAATAACAACAGCAAGAAAATATCCACCCAACTCATCTCGCCGCAAAAAGTCACAACCACAACCCACTCGACCATTAGCCACTCATCCACCTCTCAACCGCTAACCACTCACCACACACCCACCACTCCACTCTCTATTCATCCCCCCCACCTCGTCCACACCCTCCCTCCACCACCCACTCGCCTACCCCTCCCTTCACCCACTCGCCCCCCCCCCCTTCCCTCCACCCACCCCTCCACCACCCACTCGCCCACCCCTCCGTCATCTACCCCCCTCCCCCCCCTCAGATTTGTGTGTGATTATTACTCGCCTTGTTACCGTTTAAAGGCCATTACCTGGACGGCGGCACTTGGCAAAGCGTGGGTATTATGCCGCTGTTGATTAATGCTTGGTTTCGCTTGGCTGAATTGCGGGGTGTGGTGGGGGGTGAGGAGGGGAAGGGGAAGGGGAAGGGGGTGGGGGGAGTAGGGAAGGGGAAGTGGAGGAAGAGGGAAGTTTATTTGAACTTAACCCCCGTTCTTCCTTTCCCCTCTTTTTTCAGGTTCTTTGCTTTTTTTCCCTCCACCTCTTGGTATTTCTTCTTTTCTTTTCTTTTTTTTTTTTTCTTTTTTTCTTCCTTCTCCTCCTCCTCACTTCTTCCTCCTCCTCCCTCCTCCTCCTCCTCCTCCTCCCTTCTTCCTCCTCCTCCCTCCTCCTCCCTCATCATTCGCCTCCTCCTCCTCCTCCTCCTCCTCCTCCTCCTCCTCCTCCTCCCTTCCTTCTCCTCCTCTCTTCCTTCTCCTCCTCCCTTCCTTCTCCTCTCCTCCTCCTCCTCCTCCTCCTCCTCCTCCTCCCTTCCTTCCTTCTCCTCCTCCCTTCTCCTCATTCTCCCTTCCTTCTCCTTTTCCTCCTCCTCCTCCTCCTCCTCCTCCTCTTCCTCCTCCTCCTCTTCCTCCCCCTCCTCTTCCTCCCCCCTCCATCCTTCTCCTCCTCCTCCCTTCCTTCTCCTCCCTTCTCCTCCTCCCTTCCTTCTCCTCCCTCTCCCTTCTTTCTTCTCCTCCTCCTCTCTTCCCTCTCTTCCTCCTCCCTTTCTTCTCCTCCTCCTCTTCCCTTCCTTCTCCTCCTCCTCCTCCCTTCCTTCTCCTCCCTCTCCCTT